AGATTTTCTCTCTCTAAGAATCCCTCAGAGGCATTTCCGGAGTTTCTGAGCGTCTCTAGGCATAGATCGAGCATTCTAAATCTTCTTAAGAATCCCTCCGAGGCATTTCCGGAGTTTCTGAGAGTTGTAGAGTGAGAGGGCTGCCACAAAGCACCCTTTTTTTAAAAGAATATAAGAAAGCTTGCTTCGAAGGTTCATAAACCTCTTTCTTTACTTTACCGCTTTCATTTAAATTATGCAATAGAAGCTAGGGCCATGTAGTCATAAATTTAAATACCACATAATAAAAGGGTAAAAGCGCTATTTTCCAGTTTAATTATTTATTCAAGCTAGCCAGCCTATCATAGGGAACCCGAAAGGGGCGTCGTAAAGGAACTAATACTTCCTTTACACGTAACTAACTCCCTTACCCAACTCTGGTTCTAATGACCAAGTTGGTTTTCGAAAACCAACGCCTTTTTAAAACCCCTTTTCCGATGTTTATGGTAAAAACATCGGTGGCGACTCCATAGAACCCAAAATAAATAAGTCCTTGGGTTAGTCCGGTTATCGGACCACCCAGGGAAACTTTTTGAAAACCTCGTCTCTAGGTTAGCCCAGTTATCGGACAACCTAAGGACGTTGTAACCACCAATAAAAAACGCAAAAAATCAAAAAGAGTCGAAAAACCATCGCGTCGCTCCGACCGCGCCCCCTCTTTTGGGGAGGCGGCGACAGATGGCGACTCCACTGGGGAAGCCTAGAGAGTTGATCCCATTTAGTGATGGGCTGGCTTAAAAATAATTAAACCAAGAAAATAGTGCTTTTACCCTACCTTGTATTATAACATGCTTTATTGTCTGGCTTTCAATAAACTGTTGTTTGTTTATACTTACGCAAATTGATTGAGATATAAACTGCACACAAGTCCCTTGCACACTACAGTTCCCTCTATACCCGGGGGCAAGTGAGAAAACCATAGGGAGTGGGTGGCAGGTACGGTTCAGCTGCAGTTAGGGCCTTGTGCCCACCGGTGTGATCGGAAACCACCACTCAAGGTGATAACCTTCCTCTTTTGGCAACAAGACCGACTCCGGCCTTAGTGTTGAGCATGGTCGGACGGCTGGAGAGTGGGGACCCTATAATGGGGGCACCTTGGGGGCCTTAGCCTGGTGAGAACAGTTAGAACCAACCCTTGCCAATGCACTTTTCTGCAGGAAAACCCTACCTCATGATAAAAATGAATTCTCGCCTGTTCGTGGATGATCGAATTGTGTGTGCATATGTTTGTTGCGTTTGACTGTTGCATAGCATAAACAAACAACAGAACAAAATCACCAAAAAAATATATTTTACAAATAAACACCCTTATCTCGGACGATCCGCCTTTTAGCTAGCCTGGTTTCGGGTTCTTTGTAAGCTAAGTAGCCACGCAGTTCGACAGAAGAGATAAGGGACGCTAAAATATCCTTTCGCATAAAGCCACATTTTATCTCGGACGATCCGCCTTTTAGCTAGCCTGGTTTCGGGTTCTTTGTAAGCTAAGTAGCCACGCAGATTCGACAGAAGAGATAAAAGGCTATAAAATAAAAAGCAATAAAAATCAAAATAAAAATCCAAAATAAAATAATAACAATAAAACATTTATAAAAATAATGTTGACAAAGTCGTATCATTCATATTGCATCATAAGTGAAAAAACAAGAGAGAAAATAAATGCATAAGGAAAGTATGCATACGCATCATGTTAATAAACCTCTCAAAAATGTGTCTTAGAGGCGTTTTTTGGGAAAAATACTGGGCCAAATCCCCTGCGGGAATTTGCAGCTTGGTTCTTCACCCTTTTCTCTTCGTTTTGACATGTTGTACGTCCAAATCGGACAACCCAGTCAAAAGTTATGCCACTTTGAACATTTGCTGCCCTTTTGTACTGGTGCATGCATAAATACATTCATTCTAGGGAGCACTAGATATCCCTAAGACAATGGCGAAAGAGGCCCCGAGCACATTTGTGACCTTCACGACAAGGAAGGGACAAGTGTACTAAGGTGTGATGGTGATTGCCATTATACTTGTCAAATCTGTAATGGGAAGGGAACCATTACACCGAGGTGGGTAGGATACCCCACAAAGCCTAAGCTTTAAAGAGGATACCTAAGTCATTGTCTTAGCCCCTGTTTGTTTGAACTGATTTGCGATGAAATACTATTCACGAAGACAGAAACACGAGATTCACCCACGTTTGGTTGAACTGATTTGCGACGAAATGCAGGCGAGGAAAAGGGGGAGATGAGAGAGAGAGTTTCTTCGCTGAGGTGCGAAGAAAAGAGATGAAAGTAATGAAAAGTCGCTGTTACCCTGCAATATATGATAGCGGTTAAATCTTAACCGCTATTATAACAGCACTTGTAATAGCGGTTAAAACTTAACCGCTATTATATATCACTTCTAATAGCGGTTAAAACATAACCGCTATTATATATCACTTCTAATAGCGGTTAAATCTTAAACGCTATTATATATCACTTAAGATAGCGCTTACAGAGGAACCGCTATTATATCCTCCAATATTTCGCTCGAGCGAGACATAGTCGCTCAAGCGAAACACAACCCGAGACTCGAAGAAATTAAAATATGGTTGTATATGATAGTGGTTCCACTGGAACCGCTATCTAATATACACTTTAGATAGCGATTACAGAGAAACCGCTATTATATCCTCCAATTATGATCGATCATTACCTAAATCTAATCGATCAGAATCATATTTCGCTCGAGCGAGATATAGTCGCTCAAGCGAAACACAACCCGAGACCGAAGAAATTAAAAATTTGGTTGTATATGATAGCGGTTCCACTGGAACCGCTATCTAATATACACTTTAGATAAGCGATTGCATGAGGAACCGCTATTATATCCTCCAGTTATGATCGATCATTTCAAATTATGATCGATCAAGATCGCTTTTCGCTCGAGCGAGATATAGTCGCTCGAGCGAAATGCAACCCGAGACTGAATCTTAAAATATTTTTTTGAATATTATGTTTTTAAATTTGCTATTAGAGAAAACCTTTCAGAATTCAAAATGTTAAATACTTTTAAATATTAAAATTAACTTTATCAAAAATTAGGAAAACAAAATTTATCCAAAAGAGTTCAAAAATGTATAAGAGTATTCTCAATTTTGAGTTTAATTATATTGTTCATTCTCAAAGTAGAAATTTATATTGTAGTTATTTAATTTACATTTTGTGATCTTCTTAAAATTAGCATCAATAACATTAGACTTTACATTTGATTCATACCTAACTAATTATAGATTAAAAGGAAAGTGGTATAACCATGCATTTTACTTTTCTATTTACCTTATTCTTTTAATTATTTTATATAATAATAATCAAAATATTCACATGAATATGGGCATTTTCCAAAATAATATTATTGTATTATTGTTAAAATTAGCATCAATAACATTACACTTGATCTTCTTAATTATATTGTTCATTCTCAAATTAGAAAATTATATTGTAATTATCTTCAATTTATTAAAAGTGTAATTAAATCTCTATTTTCTTAATTTTTTTTTGTTTCAAACTTCTCAATGCTACATTTTTGTAACTTCTATCATTATATTATCATCCTCATCTCCTCCCATGTTCTACTTTATCTTTACAATAGTTAATATTCTTAAATAATCTATATTTTTAATTATAATTTTTTAATATATATTTTGAAATTAATCAATTCTAAGCTATTATTTGAAAAACTAATCAATTCTAATCAATAATTTAGAAAAATAATCGATTAGAATTAATTATTTGAAAAAATTATGAAATATGATCGATCATTTCAAAAATCTAATCGATCGAATCATATTTCGCTCGAGCGAGATATAGTCGCTCAAGCGAAACACAACCCGAGACTCAAGAAATTAAAATATGGTTGTATATGATAGCGGTTCCACTGGAACCGCTATCTAATATACACTTTAGATAGCGATTACAGAGGAACCGCTATTATATCCTCCAATTATGATCGATCATTTCAACTTATGATCGATCAGGATCGTATTTCGCTCGAGCGAGATATAGTCGCTCGAGCGAAATACGGCTTATGAGCTCACGCTTTGAGAGTTGTCTGTAGCCTACCTAAGCTCCGCTTTTTTCGCTCAATCCAATCAGCAGTGGGATTAGAGAGCAAGTCTGTTCAAAGTTTGTTTTAATCTTTTGAAATAGCCGTTATAATCTGTTAAAAGTCCTTTCAACCCATTAATGCGTTCTTGTTCTTTAACGTAATTGTTTTAGCCGATACGACCAAGTTTTTATCAGCTTAAAACTTTTTACAAATATTTTCTAAGAGTTATTTAATCGATTGATTCGCGGTTTAATCGATTGATTCAGCTTTAAAACTTTCTTATAACACTTTTCAAGTTATTTTAACCGATACAAAGAAGTTTTAATCGATTAAAACCCCGCATTTAATTTTTTCTAAGTCATTTTAATCGATTGAAATGCGTTTTAATCGATTGAAATGCGTTTTGACTTTATCTTTGACTTCATCAAATCACTGAGATCTTTGCTAGTCGCTCGAGCGAGATCATTTTCGCTCAAGCGAAAAACAACCCGAGGATGAAAATTATGTGCAGGTGTCTTCGCTCGAGCGAGTTTACGGTCGCTCAAGCGAAATATAACTTGTAATAGCGGTTTTAGGTGAACCGCTATCTAAAGTGTCGAGGTTTTGAACCGTGATCGATCATTTTGGCAAAATAATCGATCATTTGAAAACTTTAGGTAGCGGTTAACATATAACCGCTATCACAGAGTTACTTTTAAGAGCGGTTGTCTTTGTAACCGCTCTTAAAAGTGTATATATAATAGCGGTCCAATTTAACCGCTATCTTATATATATTTGTATTAGCGGTTATTACCGGAACCGTTATCTAAAATCTTGATCATTTGACAAATTATATATTCTAAAGACGACGTAAGGAGGTAAGTCATGAGCAGAAGTTGGGGCCGTACATGCAAGTGGTCACGGCCGTACAGTGCAGTGGTCACGGCCGTACAGTGCAGTGGTCACGGGCCGTACATGCAAGTGGTCACGGCCGCATGTACCCAACTTCACATGTTCACAACTGATAGAAGTTACAGGACTTATTCTTTCTTCCGTAGTTACAGACCGATAGGGAAAGTTATTGTATTATATAAAGCAAAGCTAGTCTCATAAGACTAGCTAAAAGACTCTAGCAAAGCAAAGCAAAGCTACTCGTTGTAGGTTGGATCTTCGCCGGCGGCCATTAACTTTGGTGTGACCTTGGTTGGTACGTTTGTTTTTGGTATATTGTCTGAGGAACACCCCGTGTATGGTTCCGTGTCTTCTCTGTCATGGTTGGAACATAAAACTTGGTTGGTACGTTTGTTTTTGGAGTCTCGTGTGCATGCATAAGAGTCCGTGTGAGCATTCGGATTTGAGGTATAAAACATGGCCAAACCTCCTCCACTCGAACAAAAAATGTGCACCATACGACCATGGTTTCGACTCGTGCATTGGTTATGTTGTTGTTGCAGTGCCGTATCTTAGAGGAAAAAATTACATTATTTTTACTTACAAAAAATGAGATTATTTGTGCAAGATTCGAAAGACTATCGGACATTTGTTAACACTCGCCGTCGTTGGACCGAAAGTTTTGCCAAGGAATCGAGTCGCTGGATTGAAGACAAGGTACCAAGCTTGTTGTCCCATTCTATATGTAAGATCTCGTATTGACATGTATAACCTCGCTTAAGAATATTGCCGTACTTTTCATCCGGATAATGCAAAATTCTGAAATCTAAGCATTTTTAGGTATAAGTATTATGACAATACTTACATATGATAAATTTAGAGGAAAAAAATTATTAGTAGTTTTGTAAATAATTTTTGGTTTTGTGATACTCGGTTTGCAGATGGCAATTTTGAATTACTTCCATTAAACATTAATTAATTAATTAATTATATATATATATATATATATATATATATTTGCGATATGGCAGTACAAAAACATCGAGGTCATTGGTTTAGACAATGACGATATAGATACTCGGTCCGGATATAAACATGATTTCACATATACAAAGTGAGATAAAAAAGCGAAGCGAAATAGGAGCGATGACAATTCTTTGTTTGATAGCTTATGGATTAAATATGTTGTCTATGGTAACTTGTAGTAGCAGTAACATTAGAGACTTTATTTCGAAAAGAACGTCGTCTAGCACGAGTTGATGTCATACCTTATTCATACTCGAACAATCTCGTCACATTATTCGCATGGGACCGAGAGGCGTTCATTAACTTGTGTCAACGAGTAAGGACAACTCGGATTAGTAAACGATGGGTTACAATCAACAGTGGAAGAACAAGTGGCTAAATTTCTCCATATTATCGGACATAACGTTAAAAATCGAACTCGTTTCATTTTTTTCCATCGATCGTGTGAAACCGTTAGTCGACACTTTCATAACGTGTTGAATGCGATAATAATGTTGGACGAACAATTAATTGTTCAACCATCGAGAAGGGATGTGTGTCCGTATATATTAAGCAACAACCGATTTTACCCATACTTAAAGGTAATGTACTTACCAACTTTGTGTCTATATAACATACACATAGATTGTCTAAACTTTAATGACAATAAATTTTTTACCCATTAGGATTGTTTAGGGGCAATAGATGGAACTCATGTTCGAGTTAAAGTCGCAAGATCAGATGCCCCTCGTTTTCGTGGAAGAAAAGATTGGCCAACACAAAACGTATTTGCAGCTTGTGATTTCGACATGAAATTCACATATGTTCTAGCAGGGTGGGAAGGAACAGCATCTGATTCAAGAATATTAAAGGATGTTCTTACAAGAGAGGATCGCCTTATCATACCACAAGGTTTATTATTTATAACATGCGGATTTTGTGTATAGTCAACTAGTTTAAATATTCTAATTAGTATAACTTCAATGATTTTAAATAGGTAAATACTACTTGGGGGATGCTGGATTTATGTTAAAAGCAAACATAATGACCCCTTATCGAGGCGTTAGATACCACCTTAAAGAGTATTCTCGACGAGCTCCACAAAACCCCCGAGAATTGTTTAACCATTGACATTCGTCTCTTAGAAATGTCATTGAAAGAACATTTGGAGTTTTGAAGAAAAGATTTCCTATAATAGCTAGTGGAACAGAGCCTCATTATTCATTTGATACAATGACGAATATAGTCCTAGCATGTTGCATTCTACACAATTTTCTTCGAGGGATAGACAACGATGAATCACCGTTAGTCGAAGTGGATCGAGAGTTGATGGAACAAGATGTGGATAATATGTCGACTCAAGTTCGGGAAGAGGATTATAGGGAAGGGTCAAACTTAAGAGATACTATAGCAAATCAAATGTGGATAGATTATCAAAGTCATTAGATTTTGTATATAATAATATATTTAATAAGATGTACTATTGTTATTGTTGAAATACGATTACATTACGATTATCTATTTATAATAATTATATGTTGGTATCGTAATTACATATATTATCTTTCCAATAGGTTTAAAATGAACAGAGGAAAGGATATTGCACCGGATTCGTCACTCGTAGTACGCGAGTTTACAAAATGGATCGATGACATGGACTTTCGGTTGTTGATCGTTATGCTTGATGAGGCAAGGTTGGGTAATCGGGTTGATGGTAGTTGGACAACCCAAGCATATAAGAATATAGTTGAATCCCTAAGACAGTCTGGATTAATTGGTATAACTAAAAATAATGTTAAAAATCGACAAAAAAGTCTTAAGGATAGATGGCGGGAGGTCCACGATTTGTTTCATGGACTTAGTGGATTCGCTTGGGATGATATGACAAAACGGTTTGTGGCTGAGCAAGAAGTATGGGATGACCTAATTAAGGTACTATTATATGAATTATCATTTGTTGATATAGCAAAACATAACAATTACGAGTGTTAACCATTCTCATTATTTTGTAGGCGAAGCCTTCGCAGCTAAATGGAAACCGGCAACTATAAGACATTATGATTTGATGGAAGAATTGTGGGGTGCTGATCGAGCCGGTGGACATATGGCAAGAACTTCGCGTCAGGCCCGAATGAATATCAGTTCTCGAAGGGCAACAGTCGACTTGAACGTTGATGTGGACCCCACACCAGAGGAGCAGCCATTTCACTTTGGCTTTGATGCAGGATTTGATACAGCTTATCGATCACCTCCACGCATGGGTTCCGACAGTCCTGCTGAGGGTGCTCACTCAATTCCATCTCGCTGCGTCTACCGGTTCGGGTGGAACCTCTTCATCTCGGGGCACAAAAAGAAAAGCGCCTATGGTTGATGTGATGGAAGGTCAATTTGAAAAACTAACATCGAGGCTGGACACATTTACAGATTACCTCGGGCAAGGTAATACAATCACCCAACGATTATCCGACATAGCCGAAAGACAGGTGGTCGCCATTGAACGCAGAAATGAATTAATTAATGAGCAAGTTAATGTGATGAGACGATCATCAACATTTCAACATTCGGAGTCGATATATGGGACATGTTAGTCGGCATGAACCTAAATGACGAGCAACTTATGCTTCAGTGTTATAATCATTTGTGTACTCACCCATCACATGTTAGACGACTTTTTGGCTTGCCCTCACATCTTCGTCTCTCCCGAGTTGTTCATGTTCTTGAATGGAGGTGATTGAATGATCTGAACTGGAGGACTTCACTACAAAAGATGGATAACATTATAATTATTTGTTTGAAGAACATTAGTGTGCATAGATTTATAATTTTAGTAATCTTTCCTTTAATTATTATTCTATTTTCACTCGTATTTTATATTTGTTTTAAATAATAATGTACAATTATATTATTAGTTTTCATAATTATTTGTTATTATCAGATCAATATTAATTATTATTTTATATTTTATAATTATTTAATTATTAGTCAAATAATTTATTTAATATGTCAACATTATTTGAATATGGATATGCAATGTACATAATTTTGTAATTGTTTATTTATATAATTTTTAATAACTATCTAAAAAAAGTTAATTTTTTAAATTTGTTTCTAATTACAAACACTTTTTAATTTGTTTTTTCTTTTAAATATATAATCAATGTTAAAATATGGATAATTAATTAAAAAATTATATTTATAATCATTTGAACCTTATTTGATACAAAGGGTAAAATGGTAATTTTCTTAAATAATAAACATAAAATTATAATTTTTATATCTCATATCAATCAAATCATTCACAATTTCCCATAAACTTTCCTTTCACTTTTCAATCATCTCCATTTCTCTTCAAATCCCTCCTTTTCCACTCTCTCATTTCCACTATCTCAAATCACTCCATCCAAACAAAGCCTTAAGGAATATCCATCTCATAAATCATTCATTTTAAAATAAAAAATCTTTTTGCATTCAAGAAAGCGGTTGGTATTCTTCATGCCCTCATCCGCATACAAAAAAAAACACACAAAATCCCAAACACTATCATACATCATGTTAGAAAATAAAACATGATAATGTTTAGGAAAAAACAAACACTTGCATACATGCATCCACCAAACTTCATCCTCATAACATCATCTAGAAGTAGGCGGTTGAAGAAAGTGGACATTCCTCAATACCATGTGAAGAGGATAAGGCATTCGCAAGCCATGCACGGGAAGTCAAAATGAAAATAAAGGAAAATTCTAACCTGCCTATGGGTTCATTTAGGCTTCTCCGCTTTTCATTCAAAAAATATGTACTTCAAAACATTGCATTGAGGAATGTACACTGTCTGGATGAAACAAATAAAATTGTTTGTCTCAACCGTCTACTACATTCATGAATTGCATCCATAAATTGCATTCATTCTCACTTTAATAAAAAGATAATAAAAAGAAAGGATTAGTCGATGTGCTTTCCACAAATCGAAGTAAGATGAAGAGCAAACATTTTGTCATCAAGTTTTTTCCAACGGTTGATCCGCCTAAGGAGGATAATAAGCCTCAACCGTTGGTCATCCAAGTCAATAAGGAAAAGGGGCAAGGACGCCGTTACATTTTGTTCACGCCTCGAATCAAATAAGGCTGCACCATGGAGATACACAGAAACATCGCCTATCAATGAGGATATCTCCAGCATAGTTAGCATTGGGGGCAAAATTAGAAATGGAAGAATCTATTCCCCCAAGGAACTGTAAGATGACGCTCCTACAAATAAAGAAAAAATAAAATAACCGAAGGAAACATAATCCAAAGAGGAAATTGAAGAGACTTTGGATTCACGACGCTGAGGCAATTCTTTCAACGCTCCGCCAAAGAGACAAACTCAGGGTAGGCGACAAGCTAGTCACAGTTTGAGCTAGAGACGACATTCAGATTAGCAAATCATCTGCCCTACCTTGAATGGATGCGGCGGAAGAGGACCTAGGACCTTTGAAAGATCTTTTGCCAATAGAAAAAGGCTTTCCCAACAATATGAAGGTGACCCACGTGATGAGAAAATATGGATGTCGCCCAAACCAAGGGCTCATTAGAAACTCTCAAGGAATAAGGGAACCATCGGATTTTAAAGACAATCCTTCGAAGTTTTATCCTGCAAAGGAACAAGCTGCATGGAGAAAAGGGAAGTCTCCCCCCTACACTTCAAACCAGATTTTCCCATATAGAGGGGTTCAAGCGTCGAAAGCGACTTTAGTCATTAGGTGTTCTCCTTCTGATTCTTAGGGTTTGTAAATCCAATGACTATTAGAGATTACTCCTCGGGGCTAGCCCGACCCCTGAGCATTGTAGGGCACATATTTCCCTATTAATTACAAAGAATGTCATTCTTACTATTTGCTTCTCTTCTTGCTATTCATGTCTAAACCTCATTAATAACCATGTTTAAGCAAACGTTTTCAAAAGTGCGTCAAAGTAATCAAAATGCGCCAAAATAAAAGTCAAATCACTCATCACCACTGATTGACTAGAAATACAAAAAAAAAGTTTTACCTCGTCATAAGTAAAGTTGTGTTTCGCCAATGTTGTGCAAAAAAGAAAACAAAAATCAAAAGAAGCCCATAAAAGCTAAAGGC